AGTAAGTGGATTCTTGTCTTTTCCTTCTGTGGTTCCTCTTCCTTCTCTCCTTCCTCTTCTTATTTCCCCTTCCCTTCTCCTCTCTCTTCCTAACCTACTGTTTTCTTCTACTCTACTTCCTCTCCCTCCTTCTCTTCTCCTCCTTCTTTGCCCTATTCCATATTTCCCCCTCTTCCTATTCTTCTCCCTCCTATCGTTCTTCTCCCCCTCCTATTTCCTCTTACCTCCTCCTCTCACTCTTGCCTATTTTTTCTTATCCTCTGACTTGGGTCAGGTACTGACCTAGGTCTTGGCTTGATCACTTATTACAGGGTATGTGACTTTGGACAAGCTACTCTCTGAACCTCAGTTTCTCCATTTTTAAAAGGTAGAAAATAATATGAATACCACCCATCTGGCGGGGGGTGGGGGGTTCTTTTGAGGATTAGAGGTAATATCATTGAGAATGCTAATACGTATTTTTGAGACAAAAGTAGCTATTTTATCATTAAGTCTCTGTGGCTAGCAGGTTAAATTGTGAGCTGGACAGTAACTAATTTAGTGTGCTGAGACATTCACGCTGGTTCTATCAGGTCAATGCTACACTGGATAGTGGAGGAAGAGCACTGGGTTAGGAGCCCGGACTCCTGGGCTCTAGTCCCTGCTTCGATATTTGCAACCAAAGTGAACACAGACAAGCCAGATTATCCAGGGTTCACTTCTTCTATTCTTACACTGTCAGACCCAGAGCAGCTGGGTCAAGTGGTATTTGCCTTAATGTACAGCTAGTTCCTTTTATATACGTCAGTGTTAAGCTTAAAAGCCAAACTGAAACTATTTCAACTTGGAGAAAAATTTAAAAATGTTCTAACCCGTCTTTTCATTCAAAACACTCACCATTTAATTCCCTCTTGAATCAGCCCAGTTGGGCCCTGGCAAACACATGGCCCCACTGTACTGATCTGGTCTCAACTGAGTGCCCAAAGTGAGAGATAATGGCAATAGGATAGTCTGTTACTATGACTTTGTGTAAAGAACATTCAAGTAGAAGTTTCTACCAATGTATGATTGAGGGGCTGGTGGTGGGTCCCTGTTTTGCATTAATTAAAATATTCACTCTCTTTCTAAATTGATTATTTGTACAAATGTTTATCTCTGTGCTTATGAGTAGATCTGATAAATCAATAAATGTGTTTCCATGTTTTCTTGACTTTCTCTCTTTGCCCCCTGACATTTAGTGTGTGAAAGTAAGTACCCTCATCATTGACACATCTTTCTGTTAACACACATGCTGACCAGGAGCGACAGCCCAAAAAGGCTGGCTGAAACTACCAGGCTGAACTGACAGGGACTGTGTGTGAGTGTGTGGAGTTAATTACTACAAAGCAGTGAATCACACTGCATTTTTTGCCTCCTGTACTTACCTCCAACAGATGAGCATCAAATCCTTTTATTTTTGGCCCAGGAACTGGCGGAAAGATGCAGGTCACCATGCTATAAAATAATTCATGAGATTGGCTAAATGACTCATTTCTGACTTTGTAATTTTTGAAAGGTTAGTGTAATAGCCACTATATGCACTGTGGTAGAGATAGGACTTAGAGTTTGGCAGCTCCATGAAACAATCAATGATGAAAATAAAATTACAGAGGCCTATATTAAAATTAACTCTAGCTAATTAAGGAGGCTGATTTTGAAGTTAGTGGATTATTTGGACTATTTGCTTCTCTTGAGTTTAGCTACTCTTGCCAGATTTTTACTGTTTCACAACTATGAATCTCTGTTTCATAGAAAGAACATCAGCCTGAAATGAGTCAATTTTTCTACTTTTTATAGCACTGATAAAAGATTTTTTTTTTTTTATGGGCAAACACACTACATCTAATGGCTAAAGTGAAGATTACCTACAGGTGTCCATCATCTTTGTATTATCTTTTTTGTCGTTATCCCTGACTATCATGATTGGGAGGAAAAGTTGAGAGACAGTGAAGTACCTATAGCCCTTCAAAGCCACTGCCCAGACAATAATCAAACAGATGACAGCAGAAAGGACAGCCACAGAGATCCATACGGTTGTATCATTCATGATGAAGTCTAAAAAACAAACAGCCAGAAAGCTCTGATCACGTACAGCATCATTAAAAACAAACAAACCTAATGAATGAAACTCTTAAATGTTTATAAGGAGGAAATGTTAAATGGAGGAAAAGTGTTTTCCTCCATTTATATATATTTTTTTATTTGAACAGCAATCCAAAGTATCATCAATGACAGGGCTATTTTCTTTTCAATATTATTAATATTTTAATATGTTGCATATGCTTTATAGTACTCTAAAAATTTAAAAATCCTTCCACATATTCTTTTTAATTGATCTTTAAAGAGGAAATCCAAGGTCACATGGTCATTTGCAGTAACAATAATAAAAGCTAACATTAACTAAGTTCTTACTAAAAGCCATCAATGGTGTTAACCTCTTTGCCTACATTGCTTTGTTATAAAAGATAAGAAAACTGGGAATCACAGAAAGATTTACCAATGAACATATAACTATAGTGTTGCAGGCTGGCATTTGAACTCAGGCTTTCTGCCTCTAGACCCTGTGCTTTTGTTAAGAAAGAGTCAGGACTGGTCAGACTAGATGCATGCCTGATTTGCAGTTCAATACCCTTTCCAGTATGCCAAGCCAATGAAAGCCCAATGCTTTGGTCAGGCAAGTTGTTAGAAGAGCTAGACTTTCCTGCGTGGTTCTGGAAAAGACCCCTAACTTTGCTGAGGTTTGGTTTCTTCACTTTTAATTCTTAATGATAATCATGTTTTCTGAATACCTGGGAAGGTTGGGAGGACCAAATAAGGTACAGGTGTTGTAAGCTGTAAAACATCTTAAAAATGCAAGTTGAATTGTTCCCTTATAGAAGACAAGCTACTGAATTAAGGTGCTTTGCTGGAGCTGTCTATCTTATATCCTGTGTCTTCATGAAGAGACTGAAGTGTAATCCATAGCAGAGACTGAGCACTGGTTCATGTCTTTGAGACAGGGTACTGCCTTATAAATTCTGGAAGAACTAGAGGACGACCTTGACCAAATCCTCTAAATGATAGGAATGGGGCAGACGGTGGGAGCAGAATAACTGACCATCAAGCCCCTTGAGGCACCAGGCCCATGTCTGTAGCCTTATCCTAGAACTATTCTCCACTGACAGTAATCCAGGGAGCAATGCTGCTCTTCAAAATGTCTTTGTATTGGGCAGAAAGATTATAAACCCATCTCTATTGCTCTGGCTAAGGCTCACAATGGTTTCTCTATTAGTAGTTATTATATGCAAACATACCATTTAAAACATATTTAGGGACATAAGCAAAAAAGAGCCAAGACACTCACCACTAGGTATCTGAATGAAGGTCGCTGGACTCCATGCACTCCAGTATCCATGATCTGGTTTGCAGCGAACCTGGACAAGGTATTTCTGTCCTGGATGTAGGCTGAGAATCTTAAACTCTGTTTGCTGCCCAGCAAAATGGGTCTAAGGTAGGATAAGGAAAACAGAAGTCACTTCTGACATTTGTTGTGAAGAAAGAGAGTTTTCCCCTAAAAAATAAACTATGGTGGAGTTAGGCTGAACAACCATACACAAAGAATTCCCTGCTGTCACTGCTCCACTGTCTTATCCCTATCTCTTCCTCCTCTTAAAATTGCTCACACAAAAATTTAGCAGGTTTTCTATCTCTCCATTTGGGACTCTACTTCAGAAAAGTCAAATATTCTGCCTCCTTCCCACTTTATGGAAAACAACTACTTAATAAATGTAGAAAGAATAACAAAATTGGCCAGGCACGGTGGCTCATGCCTGTCATCCCAGCACTTTGGGAGGCTGAAGTGGGCGGATCATCTGAGGTCAGGAATTCGAGATCAGCCTGACCAACATGGAGAAATCCCGTCTCGACTGAAAATACAAATTAGCCGGGCATGGTGGTGCATGCCTGTAATTCCAGCTACTCGGGAGGCTGACAAAGGAGAATTCCTTGAACCTGGGAGGCGGATGCTGAAGTGAGCCGAGATAGTGCCATTGCACTCCAGCTGAGTGACAAAGTGAAACTCCATCTCAAAGGAACAAAACAAAACAAAATTCAAGAATTGTTAGCTTTTAAATCCTAATGAAATAACCAATTCAATAATAAATTGGTGTTAAAGACACAAGGTGAAAGAGAATTGGGCATTCATGTACGGTAAAGTAGTAGTATACAAATTAAACATGACTTTACAATACAGGGATCAGTGTCATCTCCTCAATTCAGGGGCCAGTTTTAGCATCACTTCTGGTGGGTCAACCAGATGGTTTTTGACATCTGATTAAATACAATATGGAGTACATAATATCACCTCTGAATTTACCAATCATTGGTAAAAACTGTTCAGCCTACATCTAATTAAGTCTGGTTACAGGAAATGGAGGCATAGAGAAATTAGCTAAATGACCCCACAAAGAACTGATCAGAGAAATGTACAAGGTGGGATACTCTATGGGACAAGTGGCCCAGTCTCCTCATTACACTGAAACTGAAGGAATATAACAACCAGTTACAATGTGTGATCCAGGAGCAGATTCTGGTTTGGCCAAAGTGGCTGTTAAAGATATTTGGAAACATTGGGAGGAATTAAACTAGGGACTGGGTATCAAATGAGATTAAGGAATTTTAATTTTCCTATATGTGATCCTATTATTTTGGCTATGTTTGGAAATGTGCCTTTTTAAAAGAGGCATATACTAAAGTATGCAAAGATGGAATATTGTACTGCCTGCAATTTACTTACTATTTCTTTAGGTCGAAGTATTTTATTTTAATTTTAAATTTTTATTTATTTATTTTTTTGAGACGGAGTCTCTCTTGTCGCCTAGGCTGGTGTGCAATTGCATGACCTTGGCTCACTGAAATCTCTGCTTCCCAGGTTCAAGTGATTCTCCTGCCTCAGCCTTCCGAGTGGCTGGGATCACAGGCATCCGCCACCACGCCCAGCTAATTTTTTTGTATTTCCAGTAGAGATGGGGTTTTGCTATGTTGGTCAGGCTGGTCTCAAACTCCTGACCTCAAGTGATCGACCTGCCTCAGCCTCCTAAAGTGCTGGGATTACAGGTGTGAGCCCCTGCGCCCAGCCTATTTATTTATTTATTTTTTTAGATGGAGTTTCGCTCTTGTTGCCCAGGCTGGAGTGCAATGGTGCCATCTCGGCTCACTGAAACCTCCGCCTCCTGAGTTCAAGAGATTCTCCTGCCTCAGCCTCCTGAGTAGCTGGGATTACAGGCGCCTGCCACCACACCTGGCTAATTTTTTGTATTTTTAGTAGAGATGGGGTTTCTCCATGTTGATCAGGCTGGTCTCAAACTCCTGACCTTAGGTGATCCACCTGTCTCAGCCTCCCAAAGTGCTGGGATTAACAGGTGTGAGCCACTGCACCTGGCCTGGTTGAAGTATTTTAAAGTGAATAAAAACATTTACTATGGTTTTGTGCCATTGACTATGGAGGATATACTGAGATGCCCCCTCCCACCTGATGCCATTTAAGTACTCTTACGAGGGTCTAGGTCTAAAATGTACTAAGGGAGGCAGGTTGGAAACCTTGCCAAATGCCTGTGCAGTGCAAGAAACTAGCCCAGGGAGAGCTGTGAAGATGAGCCCCTATCAATCCCAATAGAGGTGAGAAGGGCTTTTCACATCTGGGTGGGTCGCAACTGCATTGGAGGCCAATACGGTGACCCAATAATTAGGAGGAATGACCTGTTTTCAGCTGTGAGGGCTTTATCCTTGCCAAAGGCCATAGTTCCTTCAAAAAACATATGGATCACTCACCTCCCACTCAGCTGCTTTCTCCGGTTTTAATCGAATTTCATACAGGAGCGTGAACCAACCAGTTTTTAAGTCAATCAGGGTAGGTGGAGACCATTTCATCCACAGGTAGGGTTTTCTGTCTTCTGGCTGTTTTACTTCCACAGTCAGCTCCAAAGGAGGGTCTGGTTGAACTGCAGAAATACAGCAAACTCCAGTAGCACTCATTGCTTGCACCTTTTCTTTGGCTTTACCATTTTCTATTAGGAATTCCATTTTCTGTTTATCATCTCACTCTTCCCACTGTACTATAAGCCCCCCAAATACCAGGGCCTTTTGTCTTCTACCTCTTAGTATGTGACCAATCATATTTGTGCATACAGATGAGGTTTAGATGGTAAGAATAATAAGCAGCTGGGATTTCATTCTCTGCATGTTCTCGCTTTTCATCAGTTAGAGTCTCATAGCTATCCCCATAATTTTCACAATGACAGACACCAGGTGATAAAAATTGGGCTGAGATTTGCAAGTGTGAGTTGGCATGGAAGACTATAGGGAAGAGATTTCAAACAGCTTATTTCCCTCAGCTGGCAGTGAGATTCTTCTTAGTGACACACAGTTATTTTGTGAATGAGCTATTGATAATTATAACTCTGCAGATAACAGGTTTACAGATTCCATCTTCACTTCAGCAATTACATCTTATATTCAACATACATATTACACCCTGTGGTAAATGAGATCCACTCTCCCACATGCTAAATGGAGGCTGAGCTTTTTGGCAATGATCCTTTTGGTGATCTGATAACAGCCTGTTGGCCCAGTCACTCATTCAACAAATGCTTAGCAAACTCCCATTAGCAAAATGATAGCTAATGATTCTCTAGTATTTACTACATGCCAGGGACTGTATAAAATACTACCTCTGCATCATTTCTTACAATCCTCCAGCAACTCCATGAAGTACTATTACTGTACCCATTAATTTTACAGAGGAGGAAACAAGCTTAGAAGAGGGAAATTACTCACCGAAGGTCACATATTTGGTAAAAGTGTTATTTGAACCCATAACTATGTGATTTAGGGAAGTGGCCTCCACTATTTCACTCTACCATGGTTGTAAGACATTGCATTTGATGTCAGGTGCTGGAGAGCAGGCCTGGGATTAGGTTGAAGTGAGTGAAGTGCATTGGATACAAAATTCAAGGAGGGACAAATGGCCAAGAAGCATCTGAAAAGATGCTTAAGGTCATTAGCCTTCTGGGGAATGCAAATCAAAATCTCAGTGAGATACCATTTCACATATGCCAGCATGGCAAGAACTCAAAAAATGGAACATAACAAATGTTGGTGAGGATATGGAGAGATCGGAACCCTCAATATTGCTGGTGGGAATGTAAACCGGTGCAACCACTGTGGAAAACAGTCTGGAAGTTCCTCAAAAAAATCAGACTTAGAGTTGCCATATTGCCCATCAATTCCACTCCTAGATATAGACTCAAAATGATTGAAAACGGATGTTTAAGAAAATCTTGTATGTGAATTTTCATAGCAGCACTATTTATAATAGCCAAAATGAAGAAATCCAAATGTCCATCAGTTGATGAATGGATAAAAAATGTGGTAGAGGTCAGGCACGGTGGCTCATGCTTGTAATCCCAGCACTTTGGGAGGCTGAGGCAGGTGGATCACCTGAGGTCAGGAATTTGAGACCAGCCTGGCCAACGTGGTGAAACCCCATTGCTACCAAAATACAAAAAATTAGCCAAGCATGGTGGTGTGCACCTGTACTTCCAGCTACTTGGGAGGCTGAGGCGGGAGAATCACTTGAATCTGGGAGGCAGAGGTTGTGGTGAGCCAAGATTGTGCCATTGCACTCCATCCTGGGTGACAAGAGTGAAACTCCATCTCAAAAAAAAAAGTGGAACAGCTACATATTTTATGATTCCAATATATATATATATATGTGTATATATATATATATATATGTGTATGTGTATATATGTGTGTGTGTGTGTGTGTGTGTGTATATATATATATATATGAAATATCCAGATGAGGCAAACTCCCAGAAACAGCAGATTAGTGGCTGCCAGGGGTTGAGGAAGGGAGAAATGAGAAGTAACTGCTTAGTAGTGGATGTGAAGTTTTCACTGAAGGAGACAAACATGTTACAGAACTAGATAGTGGTGATGGTTGTAGAACATTGTAATAAACTAATGCATTCAATTGCATACTATAAAATAGTTGAAATGGTGGATTTGTGTTTTGTGTTTTTTACCACAATAAAAACAAATGAAGTGGCTCCGTGCTGGCAAGAATTTAAAAAAAAACGAAGGAGGCATTTACTTCTGTAGGCTCCTGTAGGTACAGGCCTTGTGAATACCTTCCTGAGACTCAGGTGCTGGATGCTGGCTTGCCTCACCCCAGTCTCAGTTCTGCTGGTCAGTGACATTTTCTCCATTCATTTATCACCTCCTTAAATCAATCTCTGTACCAGATGGGGAAAGAGTGGCTGTAACTATAGTGTACTTGGCATTATGAGCTACATTTGCCTAAAAACCAACTTTTAAAAATTTGTGATCCGTGATCCAGTTCCAAGATGGCTGAATAGGAACAGCTCCAGTCTACAGATTCCAGCATGAGTGACACAGAAGATGGGTGATTTCTGCATTTCCAACTGAGGTACCAGGTTCATCTCACTGGGGCTTGTTGGACAGTGGGTGAGCCAAAGCAGGGCGGGGCGTTGTCTCACCCAGGAAGTGCAAGTGTTTGGGGAATTCCCTTTCCTAGCCAAGGGAAGCCATGACAGATGGTACCTGGAAAATCGGGACACTCCCACCCTAATACTGCACTTTTCCAACGGTCTTAGCAAACAGCACACCAGGGGATTATATCCAGTGCCTGGCTTGGAGAGCCCCATACCCATGGAGCCTCGCTCACTGCTAGCACAGCAGTCTGAGATCGAACTGCAAGGCAGCAGGGAGGCTGGGGAAGGGGCATCCACCATTGCTGAGACTTGACTAGGTAAAAAAGCAGCCAGGAAGCTTGAACTGGGTGGAGCCCACCACAGCTCAAAGAAGTCTGCCTGCCTCTGTAGACTCCACCTATGGGGGCAGGGCATAGCTGAACAAAAGGCAGCAGAAACTTCTGCAGACTTAAACGTTCCTGTCTGATAGCTTTGAAGAGAGTAGTGGTTCTCCCAGCATGGAGTTTGAGATCTGTGAACAGACAGACTGCCTCCTCAAGTGGGTCCCTGACCACTGAGTAGCCTAACTGGGAGACACCTCCCAGTAGGGGCTGACTGACACCTCATATACCTGGGTGCCTCTCTGAGACGAAGCTTCCAGAGGAAGGATCAGGCAGCAACATTTTCTGTTCTGCAATATTTGCTGTTCTTCAGCCTCCACTGGTGATCCCAAGGCAAACAGGGTCTGGAGTGGACCTCAAGTAAACTCTAACAGACCTGCAGCTGAGGGCCCTGACTGTTAGAAGGAAAACTAACAAACAGAAAGGATATCCACACCAAAGCCCCATCTGTATGTCACCATCATCAAAGACCAAAGGTAGATAAAACCACAAAGATGGGGAGAAACCAGAGCAGAAAAGCTGAAAATTCTAAAAATCAGAGAGCCGCTTCTCCTCTAAAGTAACGCAGCTTCTCGCCAGCAATGGAAGAAAGCTGGACGGAGAATGACTTTGACAAGTTGAGAGAAGAAGGCTTCAGACGATTGGTAATAACAAACTTCTCCGAGCTAAAGGAGGATGTTTGAACTCATCACAAAGACGCTAAAAACCTTGAAAAAAGATCAGATGAATGGCTAACTAGAATAAACAGCATAGAGACGACTTTAAATGACCTGATGGAGCTGAAAACCATGGCATGAGAACTATGTGATGCATGCACAAGATTCAGTAGCTGATTCAATCAAGCGGAAGAAAGAGTATCAGTGACTGAAGATCAAATGAATGAAATGAAGCGAGAAGAGAAGTTTAGAGAAAAAAGAGTAAAAAGAAATAAAAAAAACCTCCAAGAAATATGGGACTATGTGAAAAGACCAAATCTATGTCTGATTGGTGTATCTGAAAGTGATGGGGAGAATGGAACCAAGTTGGAAAACACTCTTTAGGATATTATCCAGGAGAACTTCCCCAACCTAGCAAGGCAAGCCAACATTCAAATTCAGGAAATATAGAGAATGCCACAAAGATACTCCTCGAGAAGAGCCCCTCCAAGACACATAATTATCAGATTCACCAAAGTTGAAATGAAGGAAAAAATATTAAGGGCAACCAGAGAGAAAGCTCGGGTTACCCACAAGGGGAAGCCCATCAGATTAACAGTGGATCTCTCGGCAGAAACTCTACAAGCCAGAAGAGAGTGGGGGCCAATATTAAACATTCTTAAAGAAAAGAATTTTCAACCCA